GCTGTCTATTGGGCGAAAAGACCAGCCTCTCTATTTGTTGCCTGCAGTAGATGGTATCCCCTTTTTTAATACAATAGTCCAACTTTCATATGGTGTAAGTGCTTCAACTATTCGAAAACTTGCATCGCCTTGGACTGATGAAATCACCACATGTCTTCCTATGTTTAATTAAATATGAGTATATTTCAGTTGAAAGTCTGAAATACCTCATATATAATTGTATGTAAAAAACGCGTCAATGGTTCCCTCCTGTCTCATAAATTGGGAGCAAGTTGGACCCCCTCATGAATGATTATACGGAAATGAAGTAGTAGACTTTCTTCGTGACAAACGTATTGCAATTAGGGAAATTCCATGCAAATTGACCATATTATGAATACATTTAGCAATAGATCGTCTTAGAATTTATTATTATTATTCAGATTTAAGAGATCTTACATGGTTCTCCTGAATCCTGAACTTGTGTATTATTCTTCCCAAATATAAATTACGTATTTGATTAGAAAATTTCTTTTTTTGTCACGTTTAATACCTCGGCAAATGTCATACCTCTCAAACTAGAGTTAAAACCCGAGTTATAGTCCGGTCTCCATTTCCTGGCCTGTGAGGCTCAAATACAGCATATTTAGTTCATCTGGTTGTTTCCACGCATTCTATCAACATCTTTGTATACGACGACTGATTACTCGTATTTCCTAATAGGCACACTAAATGTGTTACCTATGGGAGTCGTGCCAACGTTTTTATAGGAGGGCATGCTTGATCGGCATGCTTCCTTAACGGTAGTACGAAGCTATCGCCCGGATTCATCAGATTATTTTACAGGCAAGCGTTTTTACAACAGGTGAGTTTCCCGAATGTTTCTTTTCCATTTTCAATGAACGACAAGTTCTGATCCAAATTATTCCTTCATTGTAGTGAAACTCTGGGGATATCAGAGGATGTCGATGGAGCTTCACGCAGTTACTGGCCACAAGGACAAAACTGGCTGCGAAGAAGATTTTCATGTCTCAGATGTTGGCCATACTTATATTAGTGCGATAGTGTAACACGTGCCCTCGGAACATCCTTGCGACGGATTCATGCCCCTCTTCCCCCTCCCCCATTCTTCCGGTCTCTTCCACCCCAATATCCGCCCAGCCGGCGGTATAAAAAGGCATTCAATTTTCGATTTCGGGTCATTGTTCGCCACTTCACTTACACACGGAATCTTCATCCGACTCTCCTTAAAACTCCGACTACAAGGAGATATCATCCCTGTAGCCTCTCACTTCTTTACTTGCTTCGTTTTCTCATCATTACTTCCACTATCTGTAGGCATTCATTATTACAGGGTGACCCAAAAGTCCTTGAACACCCATTGAAAAAACCGTTGGACAAGTGATAGCCTGGTGATTTTTTTTAGTGAAGCAGCATCTACTGCAGATCTATTTGCCTTCCAAGTTTCAGGTCGAAAGCTCTTGATGTGGTTCCCAAACATCAAAGAGAAGCAGTGATTTTTCAAAAACCAGAGTGGTCTTCCAGCAAGTAGGATCTCAAAGCTCACCAAAACCCTTCGATCTACTATCTAGAGTATCATTCGGCGAGACAATGAGATTTGATCAGCAGCAGATCGCCAAATAAGTGGACGTCCTTCCGTGTTCCAGAATAAGAAGCTCCAGATACGAGTCAGGCAAATGCTATACCGAAATCCAGAGCATTCTGGAAGAAAGCTTGCACAAACCTACATCAGAAGATACTGTACATCATGTACAGTATCTTCGCAAGGTCTCTTTGTCCACTCTCAAGGTTTGTGCAAGCTTTCTTCCAGAATGCTCTGGATTTCGGTATAGCATTTGCCTGACTCGTATCTGGAGCTTCTTATTCTAGAACACGGAAGGACGTCCACTTATTTGGCGATCTGCTGCTGATCAAAGCTCATGAAGCTCTGCATGAAGCCTTTAAAAATAAACAAAAGGTGCAGCTGCTTACAGAGATCAACAAGAAGAAACAAGTTCAAAGGGCCCGCCAGTTGCTCAAACGGTTTAACCAGTCCTCACTCCAAAGGATTGTTTTTTTCTGACAAAAAATTTTCACTGTAGAGGAAGCTTACAACCCCTAAAACAATCGCCTCTGGGGTAAAAAGCTTCCCCCTTTCAAGTCTCACCAGCGATATGTCCATCGAGTTCAAAAACCAGGTAGTGTGATGGTGTGGGGTGTTGTTTGCGCTTCTGGCAAAACTCCCCTGCATTTTGTGCAGCCTCAGGCCAAGATCAATGCCAGTTACTATCAAGAGTGTGTTGAAGAAGGTGCTACTCCCCTGGACTCAGGAACTGCATCGTTTTCATACCTATAACTAGTTGCTCACCCTTTTTAAATTAACCATGCCTGTCTGTGTGACACTTTATTTCCAATGGTTAATCATTTGTACGACAGTCTCTTGTTCATTTATAAAGTCGGCTTGATCTGCTGAAGGAATGGAATGAATTGTCTATTGATCAGTTGTGAAGAACCGTAAATGATTTCCCAAAAGTCTAAAGCAGGTTATTGCCTCAAATGGTGATATTTTCTAAACATAAAAACACGGTTGATTTAGTTTTTTTGTGATCTTTGCACTGTTCAAGTCAGAAATTAAATTGGTCTTGATCAGAGAATGCTACACTTGATTAAAGGTGTCCAAGGACTTTTGAGTCACCCTGTATGTTTTACCTTATTTTCCTTTCAGTGAGAATGTTTGCTGTTCACGTCTAACTGCTCTCATTACTTTTATTGTGACAAAATTTCAAAACATATCTCCCAAATCCAAAGAGATCATTTCATCATTTTATACCTCCGTAATGTCAAAGCCATAGTCCCTGGGGATTTCAAATTACTACATCTCAGACACATTAGTGCATTACAATGCTACTTAATTTGGTCTTTTTATTGCCGCCGGCTGGGACACCAAAAACACCATTCGCTAAGACGTATACCGATAAAGCGATGACAACTACAGTGAGGGCAGTTCGTTGTGCCTCCTCCACACGGTCTGCTGCCTCTAAAATGTCATTGCCGAGGACGACTTTAAATCTTCGTCTTGATGGAAAAGACGAAGCTCCAAGAGGGTGAAGCTCAATTTTGACGAGCCAGGAGGATTAGATGCTGGTGCATTAAATTATGTCCCAGTAGAGAATGGGATTTCCATGGAGGCCGAAGAACGTCCAGGACAGTGTCAAACTCTTTCTGAATGCAACGGTCAGAGAAAACCCATTCGTTGACTGCCTGCCGGATAAAGAGTGGCATTCTTCCTCTTTGAGAAGGCGTTCAAACTTGTCCTTTCGCACACCAGAAGGCGTAACGAGAGCGTCAGTATGTGTAACGGAGGCTGACATCAGGGGTTGGTTCTGGACTGTCCTAGAAGTATTAGTAACTTTTCGATACGAGACTATAACACAACGAAACGCATGTCGTCAAAAAGATTTTCGATTGCTCTTTCTTATGACGTATCATGTATATTTATATCTTGATCATGGAATCGAATAAAAGTTTGCTAAAATCACAAAGCTGGAATATTCACCTTTCATTTTTGATGTGACGAAATGTGAATGACGAAAGCTAAGTAATACATTATCAGAAAACTATGCCAGAGGTTGTCTCTCAGCACTTAAATGTTGGCTTCGTCATGCTGACTTCTACAGCGGACAATTGGGTGATGAACGTCATAAAAAAATTGAGTGCATTTTGAAACATTTATGCTATTTAAGTTTGATGCAGCTCTTATTTTCGTGGTAATAATTTACTTTTACTAAATCAGACCTTTCATATAAGCCATAACACACGTTTCTTGGTGGCATAGTTTGAAAGGTGCAAACTTCGCCTGAGTTGTAACAAGTGACAGAAAAAATAAATTTTCGCATGCAATATCCAATGCATGCAATGGAAGTAAAACTAAAAGTTCCTGATTTTTGAGTTCCATGCAAGATGCGTGAGCTACGATTTTTAATGGTATTTTTTTTTCTAGCATCACCCATTCATCCTGTCATTGGGTCCACTGACGAAATGGGTGGGTAATGGATGGATGACACATGGGGAAAATGATACGAGGAGACAGGAAAGTGACTCATATCAGTCATTTTGTGTCTTCCTCGCCACAGGACGGGTGGATTTGGTGCTCGTGACTGATTCTATGTTTGAATTGCTTCGTTTATGAATGGAGTAAGATATCACAAATTCTGCGAATTCTGGATGTTGATAGGTTCTCACTAAAAAAGCATTCCACTGTAATAGTTTGACAACCTACTGTGCTATTACCGCATATTCTTAAGGGTTCAATCATGTTCACATGTTCATGTTAACTTCACAAACCGCAACTGACAAATTCATTTTATTATCAAATGGAAACATATGACGGCATAAAATTTAAGCGTTCCTTCATGTTATACGCTGAAAAAATCGACTGAGACAGTTATTAACTTCCGATTAGAAACGGGAAAATAAGAGAAAATATAGGAAAAGGATGCAACATCCAAAATCCAAATTATTTTGCAGCGCTGCTCAAATTTCGTTTTGGCCAGATTATTTTTCATACATTTTTAATGACTCCATTACACATGCCACCATGAACAGTGTTAATTTCGCTACAGCATCTATAAAAAGAGCATAAACTTTTTTATTAACTTTTTTTTCATTTCATGTATGTTTTGCTCCTCCCTTGGATAGTTTTTCTCGAATTCAGGAATTGCTAAGACTCACGGTTTTCATTCAGTTGAAAGGTGTGATGGTATATTTTTTTCCTTCAAAATGTGAGTACATGGAAATCAGGATATACTCAGAACAGTCTCCAGACCGATTTTACTCCGATTGTCTCATCAGCACATTTGTATGAACATCCGGCAAAGGAGAGAGTGGCTTTGCTAGTATAATTAGATTAATGCACTGTCTTTGCAATCTAACGACTCAATTGATGCATACCACGTTACGTTCGTCAACAACAAGCAGAGTAACTCCTTTCCTCAAATCAATGATTTTGTCTTTTCACGAAATGGAGTGGAATTAGGGCACATTGGGCTGATTGCACAGAATTTATCTCCTGAAATCGACGGAACGCATCGTCTTTGGTGCATTTTATTCAGCGAGCACGCTTGATGATGCGAATATTCCCAATACTGGACTGCATCCTATTTTCCACTTGGGTGAATGTTGTGAGATTACAGGGGCTATGCCCTGAGCCCCAATACATTTCACCATGCACCTGCTCTGATTTCGAGGAGTCCGAAAATGGCACTGTGGATTGCTCGGACGCAGAAACGACTGCAAGTATCTTCGACACCTTCAATAATGCTTCATGGTCTTCGACTGAACTCATGTGAGTAAAGACTTTCCATGCATTCGGATTCTCAACCGTCCGATAAGAACATGATCATCGTGTCGGGTCTTCATCCAGAAGAACTGATTTCCTAATAAATATGAAACATTTCGCGTAAATGTACTTGTCTGAAAGATAAGTAAAATACAAGATTGCTTAAGCAAGCATGGTCTTAGTGTCAACGAGTGGAAACACAATGAAAAGATTTCTACTCAGTACTAAATGTGATCCAGTGCATATCCAAGGTGAATATGCAGGACCATGAATATCCACTTTACTTAGGAAATTACGGCAGTCAGGGAATCAGTTATTCTCCCGAAACGACAGATTTTCCGAGACCAATTCGGTCAAAATCTCTTCTCTATTACTTCTAGTAGCCCTATTTCAACGTCTGACGTTAGGCGTTTGATGTTTTAGGGGAAAACAGCAACTGTTAATATTGTTTGACGTTAGCCGCGTCTTCATCTGTAATTGAAGCAATGGGACCGGGGCGCCTTGCCTTGCAAGCATGCTGGTCTTTATTTTTGTCTCTTGTGAATGTGCCGGAATGTCTGACGATGTATATACCCATGAACATACGGTAATTTTGATGAGTTGATTGCCGGGGGCGAATGAGGCAAGTGCGCTTCCTTGCACCAGAGATGTGTCAGTGACATTTCGAAGAAAGCCATCCTTTATGAGTGCACCAACGTTTTGCCGCAGAAAATGCAGGTGCGAAGGAATACCTTTTTGAATGGCGTCCATCTAGAACCTTGGTAAGAAAAATCCGGATATGAATGCGTGGGATGGCGAAACTTCGTATATTTGTTGTAAATCAGGAGAATATATTAACATGTCATTTAAGTTTCAAATGCGTCGATGAAGGCAGCTCATCAAACTCACGGGTTAAAATATTTCGCAATGTTATCTTACTCTAGTCTTTAAAAGAGTAGCAACTTAGAAACAGGACGAAAATGGCAAAATTGACTTTCATGTGGTAGTTCTTGCGCAATGAACACCTCGATTTGAGACACCTTGTCAGAAAAATATATGAATGCAAAAAAACCACGACGAAGTAAATTGGAAGCTTTTTTCCAGGATTGATTGGAAAATAATGTCGATGACCAAAATCTACGAAATAAAATGGCAACGGCCCAACGCTGGGCGAAAACCATACTGTTTTCTGGCATTTCATGCATAGCTCTCAAGTTTCATTTAAAGTTTTGCTCATCAGTTGCCAGGAATGAACTAAAACGATACAATTCTGGTATGAATTGGCATAAAACACGTAACCAGAAACCACACACCTAGAAAAATGTATCACAACGAGCCTAATCGGCGTCAAGGAAGCGGGAGGAAAGCGACATACAGTATTTCTTTTTAGCCCCAATCGACAGTAGCCCGAGGAGATTCTATTCCCAAGAGGAGGAAGGCGTCTTGATAACGGAAAATATTAGCAATTTCCCTCATTCGCACAGAAAAATTCGAGGAAAAAATGCCACTATGATGCTGATGTTGGGTGATTCAAAAGTCACTGGACGACTTTGAACAGCTATAACTTAGGAAGGAAGGCATTCATTTGCAAACGCATTTTTTTCACATGAAAGAGTGTGCGTTAACTGACGGAACAGCGTAGGAATTAGCATGAAATACTTGTAAGAAGTAGGACGAGCCTGCACAAAATGAAAAGAAAATTTTCTCAACATAAAGTTGATGTTTAGGGTACAATGGAGCCGGTTCGTGGTTGTTATCTGTTAATATTTTCTGCTCCAAATAGTTTTCTAATAATGCAGATAAACTTTCTTTGGAGGAACGTGTCGCCATAGTTAATTTATCATCTATCTGAGAAGGAAATCTTCCGAAGTGAAGTGTCATTTTGCTTTGAAGACAGGTGGATAGGTCGGGTCGGACCTATCGAATGGCCTCCCAGGTACCCGGACCAGACTCCACTCGTCATCTGGCTGTGGGGTTTCAGTTAAAGACCAGCGATATGCCTAAAATTAGCGCTCGATCAATGAACATCACTAAGAAGATCGCAAATGGTTGCCTTCTGATTACAAGTTGTGCGCTCGAGTTTGATGGTGGTCAATAACATGGCCAATAATTACAGTAAGTTTGATGGCAACTAAATAAATGCATTTTTTATTATCGCTAGCTTGTTTCTTAGCAGATGCTCTTTCCCATTCGCAAACAAACTGCGAATTCATGCCTTCCTTGCTGAGTTATAGCTGTTCAAAGTCGTTCAGTGACTTTTGACTCACCTTGTATTGCTCTTTGAAGATGAACTCAGCACGAACGTTTTGGAATGGTCATGACTGCATTGTTTTTATGCCAAAGCAATAGTTCATGAGAATTTAGACAAATAACGAATATAAGGTATTGTCGCTTCCATGCTTCGGGATGCTCGCAAGGGAATAACCACGCAAAGGGCATTGCCAAAAAAGATGTAGGGAAAGGTGGGGCAAAATGTGACAGGGGCAAAAATGGGCAACTCAGGTTTTGAGCGAACTATACCGGATATCTATCTGCTATTTACTCTATTATAACCACCCACGGAGGGTGCAAGTTTTCAAGTGCGCTCTGTAAAGTTGTTTGTAAACACCCTAGGAGCAAGGGAAGAAAACATGACTTTTCTTATTTTGTTTAAAGTTGTCGATGAAAGAAGCAAAGTAGCACGGGAACATTGGAGGCGTCCGATATATTTTTGGCAGGAGGTGAAAATGTGAACTATTACATGAAGTCATACTTTTTTGGCAGTGTTTGGCAGTGTTTTGATTATAGACGATGCTAATGGGGTGTCGGTGACGGTGAGGGGGGGAAATGGACGGTATAGCGGATCTTTATATGATACTAGCGAGTTTGTTTGCCCTTCGGGCAAACAAACTCGCTGTGGTCGAGCCTTCGGCTCTCCATTACCTTGGATAGCGATTAATTCATTTATTCTTTACGAAATGGCAAACACTTATTTAAAGTACGTCCCATTGGAATACGTCCCGGTAGGTAATTATGTACCAAGATTCATCTTTCCACACTAGCTCTATACACCAGGACAAAAAAAAATACTTGAAAACGTCGGCCCCAAAAATATGCCCCCAGGTCATGGATCTAAAATTTTGCATTTCTTCTGAACTCATCGTGTCAGTAGGAACGTCCATGCCACGTTTCAGCATTCCATGTCTCTCCGTTTTATTGAAGCCATGGGACATGGAAGGGAAGAGAGAAAAAAAAAGGCATGGAATGGTTAGAAATTGAACCCTGGCCTCACGATTACCAGTCCGATGTGCTACCACTACACCACCTAACGGTGAGATATAATAGCTTCTTTGGATGACATCCTTATCCATCACGATATATATTTTAAAAAACTTCTCCCCCAAAATGTGTACCCCCAGGGCATGTACCTCCAAAGTCGGAGTTTTTCTGAACTCTGCACCCCAAAAGGTACATGTGTACCAAGTTTCAGATTTCTAACCTNCCAGGGCATGTACCTCCAAAGTCGGAGTTTTTCTGAACTCTGCACCCCAAAAGGTACATGTGTACCAAGTTTCAGATTTCTAACCTTTCTTGAACATGGTTAGAATTAGCGTCAGTCAGTCAGTCACGATCGTCTATATTTATTAGATATTCTCCCATCTGGATGGAATATCCATTACAATGGTGACGCTCAGGTTGACGCGATGTGATACTCTTCAGGTTCTTTCTCCCGTTTAAAATACTGGGATGGTTGCGCCACCAGAATTCGGCTCATGACAGCTGTGCAAGTATCGGTGACGACAAGGATAAGGTGTTTGTGACATCTGTAAATTGGCATTTGTGTTGAATGCATGGATAATTATTTGCTACAGTAAAAATTTGCTTTGCCTTACAATTACATCGTTGTTTCCGTTCTGTGGCCCTTGTAAATTGGGCTGTACCGGTGGCCACATTTGACCAGTGGACCGATGGTCAATTTTTTCTTCATAACCATCGGTTGGTGTCGTTGCTGGTGCCGGTGTCAATTGCGACCTGTGGAAGAAATCCCCAATAAATTCAAAGAGGCATAATTGAAAAGCCATATGATACTTCTCAGTGCGCCTCCTTAAAACGATAGAGAACACTTTTGGTCCTGTCCAGCTTGTCTGGTTCTCTGAGAGACTATCAGTGGTTAGCTTGTTATCCATTGCTGTTGAGAGCATTTAGTGACACATCCCTTGGAGAAGCATTACGTAAGTGGAGACACATAGACTTCCCTTATTTTCCGCTCCTTTCCTCTGCTCCCATAATCTGGCTGTAGTATAATCCGATAGATATTTTTGGAGTGGCAGGAGTGGCTCTCAGTGAGACAGAAGGGCCCACGCCTAACTGCGTTCACACCCTCACTTAATTTTTTTTTTGCCTTGCCCGTATTTTGGGAATCGACACCGGCACAGGCGCCATAGGCCGATGAAAGCGCGATGAAATAGGCATACAATGATGACATGGGAAAACTTGAGAAAAAAACTAGGCCCATTTATAGATGTTTCATTGCTGTATCTGTTTGACCTTTGTAAGTAAGAATGAAGACCTGGGAGAATAAGAGAAAGCATCTATTTGTCATTTGTAGTTATTTCATTGTAGTCGCTGTTCTTTGAACTTTGTAAATAGCATAAAATGAAGACACGTGAAAACATGTGAAGTATCATTAGGTTGCTATTGGTAGAAATCCCATTAATGTTTCTGTTCTGTGACCAATTTAAATAGATATATACGAGGGAATAAAAGCTTTGTAATACAATACTTGGAGGAGCACTACGTTTAGCCCCACAGGGACACTCATTTTTCCCCGTGTTGGACAAAACGAGGTATTTAACAACAATTTTTAGAATCGTCATGGGGGAAGAAAGCGTCGCTGATTTAACGGTGAAGTTGAATCCTAGTCGTAGGCAAGACAGGAAAGGTACCGCATACCCATCCGCAACGCGCTACGCCAATTCCTTGGCACTAAATGTTGGCCACTTTCCTGGATCGCTTCATTTTGCCCCACCTTCCCCTATATTTGGTCTTCACAAAAGTTTGCGAAGGAAAATGACCACGTAGCGAGAATCTATTCATTGCCCTCCTTTACTTGAAATAAAAGCATCTAAACTTATGTGCACAGAAAATAACCCTCCCGTCATGTGTCACGGGTCTCCTCATGTCTCTATCTATTTCTTTACCTATTCAGGAAGTTCAGGCTCAGTGAAAGCAAGGCAGTGCTTGACCTTTCACATGGCATATTCGGCAATATCACCTTCCAGAGGATATATTCATACAAGACCACGATCAGAACCATCCATCCCTCGACCTTGAACTCATCTAGAGAGAGGCTTCAATCCTTGAACATATGGAACAGTCGCCTGGAGGACTTCCCATTCACCGTCCTCCCTGAATTAACCAACCTGAAGATCCTGGATCTCCATGGAAATGCCTTGAAGACAGTGCCACCCCTTGAAAGCGAGAGTCTAAAGGAGCTCTACCTGTATGACAACCAAATAGCCACATTTCAGGGAAACTTGAACATGCCCAACTTGAAGAGCCTAAACATCGGTGAGTCTCATAGCCAGAATGACATGGATGCTTCGGCTTTAATCACACACAAAAGAGAGCATCTCGCCAGCAGTCATGCTGCTCTTTCTCGGCATCTTCAAAATTGGCTTCCATATCATGAGAACCGACCAATGAGAAATGCATAAGTGACATTTCCAAGTAATATCATGAAGATTGTTGTAAGGAAACTCAACGAAAGGATAAACAGTGAAAGTATGACTTGGCAATGTCGACGCCCTTCGTTTCCTGCTTTTGATTTCCTTTTTCATCATGTATAGACGTTTTTTATCATCTAAGGAAAGGTAAACATCGTAGCGCAGTCGTGATGTTAAAGGTCCAGGACTACTATCTGTTGACAAGCCTACACCTCTAAAACGAGGTTTTATTCAGATCGCACTGCTTTCTTATGTCTCAACGATGAATATATAGGTTTCCACTGATACAGATTCACGTGTTAAGTAATACCACAAGTAGTTGAGAAAGGATTGACAATACTTTTCTTTCATCTCGCCTCTGAAGAAATACTATGTGTTTTGAAATCACAAAAGAGTTTTGGCTATATTAAGACAAGCATCAATACGAATATATATCATCTTCCACACAGATGCCATGTGGAAACCATGTCGCAAGGCAATAATTGTTCTACTCATATCCTCGGTCAAGCTTCTCTCTGAGTCACACCTCATACAGCAACCATCGATTCTTAAAAAGCGCAATATTCGAGGTGCAGTCAAAATGTCTCCATATCACTCAAAAGAAACAAAAAATAATTGGTGAAACTCCAATTTGCGCTATTCACTGCGCAACTGAGCCCCTTGCTTCACTCTGCAATACTGATAGTACCAGAAGTCACTGATGGCAAGATCTAGAGATTGAGCTGAGTGCCGCAATCATTTAATCAATAAAAGAAAAAGGAAGTCGCTACAAATTTAACATGAAAATTTGAGCTCGGAATAATGTTGATTCTCCTCCACCCAAGAAATTGAAGACTGGAGCTGTGCTTCCAAGACTCATTATGCCATTTTTTAAGACATGAATGTCATCTGTACCTTATGGATTTCCAATTACTGTTCGTTGTTCCAAAGACCTACTAGCCAGCGAACTCCTTTTACCAATCAGAAAATGACCAAACTATGCCTTGTTCAAGAGCCAACCTCCATCAGGACAATGCTTCTCCTCCCCAAGCTCAAGTTCTTAGGGACTTCATCCAAGTAATAAACTATTTGATGAGCTGCCGCATCTCCGTCACTCTCCAGAACTTGCCCCTATGGCTTCTGCTTGTTTGGAGAAATCAATAAGTCGCTTCATAGGCACCACTATCCCGCTCGAAAAGCTCTCGAAAGTGCGAATTTGACAGTGGTTCCGGCATACACTTAAATAAACTATAACCCAGTGCCAACTCATGCGATTGAAAATATACCAATCTTGAATGAATAAGCAGGGAAACTGTCAAAATTGAATGAAGCAAATGGAGTTACACCAAATATTTTCTGGTTAATCGGACACTAAGGGAACGTTTGTTCTGGCGCTCGTACATGCTTGTTTACGGAGATTGCCTCTGGGATATCACGGGGTTGAGGCAGTCGAAGGCTTAGCCCCCTAATTCTGTCATTTCCAAAAAGCGAAATGAATAAGTACCTTTGATCATTCCTTTGATTATGCCTATTTTTCTGCAAACTTAAGAAAGTCTTTGCTGGAGTAGGAAAACTTACACAAGAACGTAGTGTCCATGTTAGATGGAATTTAAGCATGTACATTTAAGCACATTTGTGTTGTACTTATTCCAAGCAGCTTACAAGCAGAAGTGTATTCATGAGATGTGTCCACATGAGTGGGCCTGATGCAATAAATAGTCAAGCTGAAGTGCTCAGCTTTACATAGGAATCCACGATGAGAACAGCACTTTCATTTCATGGAAGTACCGGCGTTCGGTCCTGAGTCACTTTAATCTGAACCAAAGATACTCAGGTCATATGTACGGCCCAATGCGTAACCCTAACATTGACGCATTTCAGCCACAGTTGATCCATAAGATAACACTCCAAGCGGCCATGTGTATTGCCCTACTAGCACTCAAATTCAATGACGGTGTCAGCGGAGTCAATGTCTCAATATGAAGGCAATTAGGGAATATATTATCTACATAATAAAATCTACTGAGGTCCGTGGGGGTGGTCGGTGGCATGCCACGAGTTCGCACGGCGCTCTCCCATAGCCATAGTAATATTGTTACGATTCTACGAGGTTGCATACCGTTAAATCCCGAATATTAATCCCGCGGGATTAATGGAAGGCTTTAATGAACAGATTGAATATTTCACCTATCGCCGGCTGGGTACCCGGTGTCGGCCTCAGCTGACCATCCTTGGCCGATTAATGGTATCGTAGGTTCGAGACATGGTGGGTCCGAGTGGAAATTATGAGAAGGAATGATAGATTTGTAGACAATCTAATCAAACATGTATTTCTCATTCATTCACAATCTCACCCATCAAGGGGCCTGTTTCATGGAACTCTAGTTCTACAAGTTCTACAAGTTACAAGTATTCAACTTTCGCAAGGGTCGTGTCTCTTTCTTTAACTCTTCCAGCTGGTCCCGCTGACCCTTCGTACAACTACGACACGACCCTTGTAATTACTAGCAACTTGTAACTTGTGGAAATTGTAAATTTCATTAAATAGGCCCCTGGCCATTGCAAGGTCGTCCGACAAGGTGGAGGAGGGCTGGGCTGGGGCCTGGGGCTCGAAGGCCGGTGGTGGTGGGGCTGGTGGTACTGGATCGTGTCGTTCGGTGGTGGTAGATGTCCTCACCGTCTCCACACGAACTACGTTGGTGGAAAAGGGTGGGGGAGGGCTAGGAAGATAATGAGCTGAAGTCTGGGTTGGTTACCAGGCAAAATTGCCCGCGCCAGAAAATATTTTTTTTTTCTGTTGCTCACTCGACAGCTTCTAAGGACGAGCCCGACTACCGAGGAGAATATTGTGACCCTACTTTCAGGTATTATGGTCGAGCCTGTTTCCGGGCCAGCTGTGACGACCGTATCCAGGGCATAAGACTGCTTGAATATCAAGGAGATTGTCCCAGTCGTATTTCTGGACTCAGGTCAAGCTTCTGTGACACTTGATAGAGGAATCCTTGTCGTAAGGTCGAGGGAGGGAAGACCGAATGATCCGACTTTTCATGCGTGCTTCCCGAGTGTCCTCGCCAGGGCTCGCCTGCGAATGATTGTGAGGCAATCGTTCGTCATGCCCGGGGCTATTCCACACGCTGAGCTGGAATGTGGGCATTATTTGGTTCTCTTCGAGACTAGGTTTATTAAAGGGCTTTTATATTAATATAAAATTATCCGCTCCCCGTCTTCTGACTTAGCTAGCCCTTGGCGGATCCATGGGAGGCTGGGGTTGGCGAATGCCCTCCCCCCCATCTCCCTCTTTTGCCATGCTCGAATTCATTCCCTTTAAAATCATCCGTGCTTTTGCATAGGTTATGGGCCTGCACGATCTTTTGATACTGAAAAAAAAAATCGCGATATAGAGCCGTGACAATATTGACTTCGTCTAGATGCACGCTGATAGATGTTATCATCGATGATGTCTACATGGATATCTTCATGACATCCTTTCTTCCCTCAAAGAATGATTATTCATTTTCCTTCACCACAGACTTCTCGTTTAGGATAATTTATCTTGGAAGGATGTAGGAAAAGTAATCATCCCTTCTCTCACGATTTGACATTCGGGGAAGTTCACACATAGGAAGGTCAGTAATTACTGACTTGATGCTCATTGGAAAGGGAAGAATCGGAGGTCACGATTTCTAAGAAAATACGAGGGTTATCCCAAACATAAATATATGTGTTTCTTAATTGTAAAAGAACTCAAATTTCAAAGAGGATGCATACTTCATTAGAGATCTTTCAGTTACTTCTTCAAGTATTCTCCATCCCTTTCGATGCATTTTCGTCACTGTTGAACGAGTCTTTGTATGCTAGCGCGGCAAAAGAACCTGTCTGCCTCATAGAATCATTTGCGAATTGCACATTGAGCCTGCCAGATTCGTGCTGTGTGACAGATGCGTGAGAACCGTCCATCTGTTTTTTTTTTGCAATCAACCTTGGCAGCGTTCTCTTCAGTCACAGCTGTTGCAGACTGCCCAGAGTGAGGTTTGTGACACTCCTGTCGCCTATCTCGAGCTACGATGAAATGAAATACGGTTGGAAGATATGAAAATAAGGTTGGCAACCCTAAAGTAATCTAAAGGAGAAAATGCAAAAAAGGTCTCCTCCCAGACTTAATTTTCCAATTTGCAAATAACTTATCAAATCACATATATTACACTACAGGTTTTCCTTTGCCGTCGACATTGAATATTCCAAGTAGACACCAAATGAGAAGTTTTTGCAGAGTAATAAGATTATCATGGACTTCCTATGGAGCATTGGATTATCGTGCAATTTAGGGACAACTTTACCATCGAGGACATTCCAATTTCATAGCCCGGTCTTAAGAGAAGTGGGTCTTTTTTTCAACACCATCTCAAGACTGGAACCAAGAGCTATCACAGGTGTGGTTTATTTTATGTATGCTAGGAACTCCGTGCTTAATACGTGTCTTTTTCCCCGAAAACTGGCTGCCATCAGGATGTGTCTTTTTTCTCAATAGTTATGAGGTACGGATGGTAGCATAGTAATCATGTAATTTGACCTGCATGCTGCATTAAAGACAAGCGAATTACTTAAGGCTGTTCCACATTATTCAAGGATAATACTGTCCAGTTTTATCGTGAGTTTGCCTTCAATGTTTCATTGGGAGGAAAGAAAGTGCCAATGAAACAATTGAAGTAAGTTTTCTCTTTAAGAGGTGGCATATTTCAAGAAGGTTTTTCTGTACTGGTCATGCATTCCAAGCACATAAGTTTCCATTGATAATATGATATGTGGATTGTCATAAGTGACATTAAACTATGAATATGTGATGACTGCAGCATGTCATAGTTCTCACAGACTATATCCAAAGCAGCGTGAAAGGGCGAACAGCTGAATTCCGTACTGCCAGATGTTAAACTTTTATCGAGCTATTGCCACTTCTCAAAGAGCGTGCACATTAGATTCGAGAGATATGTTTCTGTTCTAGGTCTTACCAAGAACACATCCATTGAGCTCTGGAATAACCAGATCGACAGTGTAGAAGAAAAAGCCTTTCGGCCGATGCTGGAAGTTCTTTCGAAGGGGAATGGCTATATCAGTTTATTTGGTGAA